CCGAAGACTATCAATATCTAGAACACATAGGCGCTCTTAGCACCGTAGGGTACAATCATCAATGCCAAAAGAAAAGATGTGATATTGTGTTTATGAATTCCCTCCTTCAGCTGTACCAACAATGGATCGTTGTATTGCTTTTCTCTGACCTCCGCTAGAAGCAACGATTCAGCCTTATTCTACACAATTACTCTCCCTTCACTAGAGTCCGCAAGACGAACTCCTAGACTAGCCAACTGGTGAACCTCCCTGGCCAACGCCCTTTGATATATCTCCAAGTGAGCTAACTACCCATATATCACGTGCTTATATAACCAGTTTTCTTTCACACCTTAGGATCATTTACATACTTCTCACACTACCCACATGTGTTATTCAAGCTTATACAGCACCTATCAATTCAATATCTTTGGAGGTTACAATCATTTTTAACATTTTGTCGAATAAAGTATGCTTCTGGTACTATGTACGTACCTCATATATTTGTACCATTCGTTCAACATAACATATATTCCATCTCCTTAATATTCAGGCCTTTGCCCACTGGTCATTCCGTATGACAACATTACTTGAAATAGACGAAAGAGCGTCTAAACTTACCTTGAATCTCAACGCACGAGTTATAAGAAAATCTTATAGTAAAGCTTTATCGCACGATCTGGAGTGTTGAAGAAGGGTAACATTTCTAAATGTCCATGTAGACTCCAACTTATAGATGTGGTCGACAACACACCGATAAGAAGGGCTCTACTAGACACGGCTCCGAGACATCCTAGGACACTTTAAAACTTTAGGCTCTGATACCAAGTTTGTCACGCCCCAAAAACCAAGGGGCGCGACCAACGCTCGATCGGGTAACCCCAGTCAAGCGGACTTGGGTGTCTTTCCTATCCCACGTGTTACCCCGCGTTTTCATTATCTGTTAACCAAGTGAAATAGCCATTTATGATTTAAACATATTCTTACGAGATTTACATAATATACATGGTTACTTAGCGTGGTTTACAAGTTACACTGCCCAAATACAAAATACATAAGTACATAACCCACATTTCCTGTCTACGGAGCCTCTACGAATACAAAAGAGTGTTATAATACTTGCCGATAACAAGGCTCCGGCTATACCTTACGCAAATACCAAAATAAGATTTTCGAGAGGAAAAGCGGCATGAGCCACGCAGGGCCCCGAGAGGAAAAAGGGGCTCATCAATACAGCTGACGGAAAGTGAAGGAGTGTTATTGTTGGTGGACTGGAGTACCCGCTATAGAACCACCTACAATCATAACACGAATGCAGCGCCCCCGGCAAAAGGGATGCCAGTACATTTGAATTGTACTGGTATGTATGAACAAACTTTACCCCAAGTAAAATCAAGAAATATACAGGTAACAAACAGTAATAGAATCAACAATCCAATGCACATGAAAGGAACAACCAAAGCCAAACAAGTTCCACAATCTCTCCTTTTCCCCTTCAACATTATTTCATTACATCAATGGTTTCACAACTTTCACATATTTTCATTTCAATAGTGATTTCGATCACTTTTTTACCCTTATTACCAAAGCCACCCTTATTACCTCGGCCACCCTTATCACCACAACCCGCACCTTATAACTTCGTGTTGCGGCGCGCAACCCGATCCCACCGGACAATCAAATTTCACACGACAACAATAATAATTCACAAGGAATTTTCATAACATCAATACCATTTCCATCATATGCAACAGCCCGTATACAATTTAAGTCACAACGATAATTGCCCGCGACAAGTCACGTATGATATTACCACAGTTGTTTTAATTGCATCAATTATGATTTCTTTCCATCATTTGTTACACAGTTCTTATCACATGAACACATTCACACTCACACACTTGATTTATTGCCATTTACTTACACCATTATATCGCGAGACTTAACCAACAACGTTCAAAGCATATTAATCACAAGAATCATCATTTCAAGGAAGCACGAGTTCATATCAACAATTCATACATATGGGCCCAAGACACTATAGATGTCACCAAGCAGTAATTCATGTACAAGGTGTTGTCGTAATCGTTCAACTCATTTACGTCATTTGACAATACCATCTTTCATTACTTACCACGCAGGGTTTTAGCCATTATACATATTCCCACATTTGGACACATTAACGTTCTTTCATTCGTTAACACATACTCCCATATCGTCATCCTCAAGCATTTACAAGCTTAACACATAATAAGGTAGCCACATCAAATCACTTTTCACAATCACATATAACACGGTGGCGTGGAAATCAACTAAGACAATCAGTACACGTATTTTCATACAAGGTACACATACCGTATGCTCGTCACACCAAGGGGATTCTAAAAGAGTTAAAGTTAGTCATACATACCTCAAATAGTTTTTCCTTAAGTTACTACAATGTTCCGGAAATTCTAGCAAAAGACATAACAAAATTAAACACAAATTAGGAAGATATTCATAATTCTAGCTCATTCGAGCATTTTATCAAACATCATATGTACGTTAAATCTTTATGGTCTTTTTATAGAGGATTTCATCAACCCACAACCCATACTTTACCATCTTTAGCTCAACAATATTTCTACAACCTTTGACAATACATGCAAGCAAGATAACAACTCCAATACCCACAAACATTCTTTATAATTACCCATCTTTATCTAAATTCAAAATTAAAGGTTAGGGTATAGAGTCTTACCTCAAGGATGAAGGCCTAGTGTGGTTTTCCTTGTTAATCCTTTAAGATTTGAGCAAGAGTTGTAGAAGAATTGATGAGGGATACTTTCTCACTCTAGGGCACCCTCGTACTCTAAAAATATCTCATTTTTGCTCAAGAAATGGTCCCTTGAATCTATTTGACGAAATAAGGTCGTTTTATAACAAAAACCCCGATTTTGTATTGTCGCGCCGCATGGGGCGGCGTGGTAATGAAAATGTGTTTAGAAACGAAATTGGAGGTGCTCTGATAATTTACACAGCCGCCGGTAGTATAAAATTATGCGCTACTTTTGGTAATTTGGTCATAACTTTTGGAAGGAGTGTCCGAATGACGAACGGTTTGAAGAGTTGGAAACTAGACTCAAAGATCTTTTATTTGATAGGTTGTGAATCACACAAATCCTTATATAACTGGAGATATGATTGTCCAAAGTGAGGTCTTGTGCGCACTCATTTGCAACTTTTGTCTCTTATGAAATTTTCCAACTTGGCTTAGACTTAGACCTCTCTTTATACCCCAATTCACTTATACTATGACTTATACACTTATTAACATATCCAATTGATATCCATAATATCCCTAAATCCTCATTTGCACACAAGATAAAATATTTGGCCTACCTTGGCACCACGAAATCTTAAATTACTAAGTAAAATTTTTCTGGGGCTTTACAATCACATTGTACATTCCAGTTCCTCTTTGGCCTTTGATAATTCTGGTGATTACCTCCTTTGCTAGCTAGTAAGGTAGTTAAGTCAATTCCTTCACCCACAGTAGAAGCATTAGTCATTGATCTTTGACTTTCTCTTTCAATAAGCATTCATATGCTTTATTGATGCTAGGTGTTGGGCAAGTCACGAGAAATTGACTACGAGCCTGTTCAAAATTGTCATTCAAACCCATTAGAAACTTCAACACTTTCTATTTTTCCATAAACTCGATGAAACTCTTTGATCTAGCACAGTCACATGGTGGAGGAACCATACTATCAAATTCGTCCTACAAATTTTTAAGTTTAGAAAAATAAACTGAGACATTGTATGTTCCTTGAGTAATCGTCGCTATGGCCTTCTGCAACTGATAAACTCGTGATGTGTTTACCTTATCAAATCTTTCTTTCAGATCTTCCCACACTTTTCTCGCATCCTTCGCATATAGAATTCCAGTAATCAATTCCTTTGAACCTGAACTCATAATCCACCCTAGGATAATAGCATTACATCTATCCCATTGATGACCTAGTCCTATAGCAAAATCTCCTTTCTTTAGAGTACCGTCAATTAGACCTAGCTTGTTCTTTCCTAACAGTTGGATCTCCATCGCACGACTCCAGATGGAGTAATTTTCTAAACCAGTCAACTGAATTGAGATGATCGGAGCTCCGGTAGTATCCGATGGGTGAAGAAACAAAGGATGGTTGTGGTCTAGATCTGTCTTTTCTGCCATTGTTGAATCTCACTCTCAGCTGTAATTCAGAATTGAGATTATTGCAAATTCAACAGGATCTTCTGATTCAATTCGCAATCGCGATTGCGCTCTGATGCCCTGAACAAATCACACAAGTCCAATGTGAAACCCTAGGGAGCAGAATTGAGAGAGAAGAGAAAGAAGAGCTCAGCTCTGTATTTCAGTAGAAAATGAAAAATAGAGTCTTACTTACATTCCCTAACTAACTAGTTATACACACATATCCTACTAACCGCCTAACTAATACACACGTGTACAATTATGTGTGCTAATTAACTAATTACACTAATAATAATCTCCCCCTGCGTATTAACATTAACAGCCAATTAACCGATCACCAACAACTCATGTAATCCCCATTTCATCAGATTTCTTTTGAAGGACGTTAAGGAGACAACATCATACGTTTTTGTCATTTGATTTTATTACTAAATTAAACAGCTCCTGTTGGTTTTTTTTTTTTTTTTGGAATTCCGAGTAAGAATACACTAGAGTTCACTGCAAGTCCGGTAATTGAATATATTATACTTAAAAGAACTGCATGTTCTATTCTTTTTCATATTTGAAAGGAAGCCTTGGCGTAACTGGTAAAGTTATTGTCATGTGACCAGGAGGCCACAGGTTCGAGCCGTGAAAACAGCCTTTTGCAGAAATGCAGGGTATGCCTGCATATAATAGACCCTTGTGATCTCATCCTTACCCGGATCCCGCGCATTGCGGGAGCTTAGTGCACCGGGCTTATCCCAGAGTATCGTTTCTCATATTTCAGTTTTTTAATGTGGACTAATTGCAGGTGGGCTCATATAGCAAGTCGCTTACCTGGACGGACAGACAATGAGATAAAGAATTCTTGGAATTCTTGGATTAAAAAGAAGTTAAAAAATCCTTCTCAATTGCATTCAACAAATACAACTTCCAGTAATAAGAACCCGCACCATCATCATCACCAGCAGCAACAAATACAATCCCGATTTACTTATAACACAACAAAGCAGCAGCACGAAATCTTCAATAGTCAAGATTTTGGAGCAAAGCCCCAAGTCCAACAAGAATCCCTATGTTATTCACCAAATTCATTCGTTTTCGGCACTACTTGTTCACTTGAAACCATTGCATATGGAGGTCATGCGACTAGTAGAGCTATTAGTACCAGCTCATTGTTTCAAGACACATTGTCTTTGACCTCCGAATTCTGGCAAACTCATGAACAACAAAAACATGAAGCTCAAACATCGGGAATGAATTCGAATTATTTGCCTCCTTTGATAGAGAGCATAGAGCCACCCATGGAAATACCTTCAGTTTGTCGTACTAACAACATCTTGGATGTGTCAGGGCAGATGGGAAGAAATCAACTAAATGAATGGGAGGTGGAAACACAACAATATTGTCCAAGCTATCTAATTTGGGATCAAGACACAAGCCCGTTTATTGGGGACGATCTTTTAGCTCCAACCACATCAGACACTGAAGAACTATTATCTTCTTTTCCTTCCTAATCTTGTGGAACTGTTAATTCTTTTTTTTATTTGAATTCCTGGTCTAATTTAATTCGGGGAACGTTGTTATTCAATTGGGAGATGGTGAAGTGTGAGGTCTTTCAACTTGCCAAAGCTTGTTAAAAGTGTTTGACATATACTCAGAAATTCAAGAAAAGAAAGGGAATAAGAAACCAAGTTTTGTGATATGTTTCCTTTGATCCTTCAACGTATCTGTCCAATGAAAGAACGGGCTGCCGTAATGTACTCCCTCTTTTTCAATTTAAATGACACATTTCGCTTGTCGAGAGTCAATTTGACTAAATTTTAAAGTTAAATTGAATTAGTTCAACTTAGTATTTTAAAATTAAAATTTTAGATATTCAATAACTATACGAAAAGTACTATAAGTTGTAATTTTTCTCATGTCAATATGATTAAAAAAAATATTTTAAAATATTGTTCAAACTTGACACATTTTGACTCTCGATAAACAAAGTGTGTCATTTAAATTGAAACGGAAGAAGTATCAATTTTCAAATGATGAACGTGTCAGGTTCATATTAAGTATTTTTTGAGATTATATTAGAGCAAACCTTTTAATAAAAGTATTTAATATTCCTAATTACTATATGACCATTTGTCTAAAGTATCTTGTATCTTTCCTTAACCATCACATTTAGTCAATACTTTACTGATTGAAACAATAAGGTAATTTAAAGATATGTGAGACCTAAACTGAGAGATACGAGTTTAGAAGGTAATTTTACACTCAAATCTCAAAGGCTTTTGTTACCCCGTTCAATTGAACTTATCACTCTAGCCTTTTCCCTCACAAGGGTTGTCTACAATTCTCTACACAAACCAACTTCTCAATACAGTAGGTAACCAAGTTCCGGTTTGGAGTGGAAGCTTATGTCAATAACGAAGAAGGATAACAAAGCTAACGGATTATGAATCAAATCACAAACAATAAAATAAAAGAGAAAAACACGAACAAATTAACACGAACTGAAAGTAAAACACAGAAGAAACTAGATTAATACTATTTAATAAGAACAATTATCAAGTTTAGATTTGAAACATTAGAAGAAAACAAGTTACACTAATTAAAGAAACTGGACACTTCTCTGAACATTTCTTCTGTTACATTCATCAGGGAATGAAAAGTACAATTTCAGAATTGATGCAAAAAATAAGACAATCACAGTCGCAGGTTGTTAAAACTGTACAGTAATGAAAAGCCTATGTCAAACTTTTTTGTTCCAACTGAAACTGTTACAATCTGCTCCAAAGCCTTCTTCAAAACAGCTCCAAAACTTCCAATGACACCAGAAGATAAAGTCCTTCCAGTTCTCCTGATCCAGAATTCGAACCAGTCCTCAAGCAGTGTGCACATATATATATAAACTTATACAGTAAGAGTTATTCACCCAATAACTTCAATAACTTCCAGCCAAAACCAATTTCCAGAATAGTTTGGCGACACCCCAACTGAACCAAACTGCAGAAATTTGAACAGTGCAGAAACTGAACTGTGCAGAAATAACTGTGCGAAACTGGACTGTGCAGAATTCTTAAATCAGTGCTGAAATCAGCTGTGCATGGAAGTCGATGGAATTCTGAACTTTTCCGGATGGCTTCTTGAGTTGCTGTTTTGCTGCAGATTTGCAGCTCAAATTTAACCCAAGTTGATTCAATTCGCACCAGACTGTCCCAATTCCCAGAAAAATCAAGTTGCTTTTTTTACGACTACAAATATCCTTCATTCCAAAAAGACTTTAGTAAAGAGGAATTGAAATTCAGATGATATTTTCCACCCACTTTGGTGAACTTTGGTTTCAATACACTGTAATCAGTTTCAAACCTTCAAAACTGATTCTCGTCCAAACAATACTAGTATATTACACAGCAGACACCGTATTCAATCACAAACCCTTTCAATAAAGCTCCAAATCCAAACTTCAAATTCAAGTTTCCAAAATATAAACTCAATAGGGTACTCAGAATACCAGAATTTTGGAACAAATCCTCAAACCCAGAATTGAATCTTCTAACAGCTAATTCGATTCTAACAGCAGCTAACAAAGAAGAACTCAGTTTAAAACTCAGATTTCAAGTTATTCAACAGATTTCAGCTAAGAAAAAACAGCAGGTTCTGAAATATTAAACTGGGCAAAATCTGGACCAAAAAATTGCAATCTGAAATTTCTGCAAAAAATTAAAGAATGAAACTGTATTGAACTTTTGTTAAAGAAAACTGAAAAAGAAATGGAAACTTAAGAATGAATATAATGAAACTGTACTGAACTTTTGTTAAAGAAAACTGAAAAAAGAAATGGAAACTTAAGAATGAATATCGTCTTTGCAGAATAGTCCCTTCTTCAGCACCTCGCCAAGTTCAGCTGGTTTTTCTGATCTTAATCCATCTTTAAAGTTTAAACAGTCCCCAGCTGAACTTTTCAAATCAATTTCCAAACTCCAGAAAGAAAATTACTACAGCAAATACCAATCAGTTCGACTAGAACCAGCTGAACACAATTAATTTTAAAAGCTTGGGAAATTCGTGTCAGGAATTAGACGATAGCTGCAACTAAGTTTTAGCAAAGCTTTTTGCTTCAAATTTTTCAAACTTCAGCAACACAACTCTAAGTTCAATCACCGACTGCAGAAATTTTCAGTAGTGCAGAAATACCTGTGTAATAATTGGAGTCAATTTGAGTTCTACAATTTCTGGGCAACCTTCTTTCGCTTTCGCGAAATGCAGGCCGCCTTCGCGATTCATGCAAGTTTTCCGGTGTTTGCGTTTGCAGCATTCCTCAGGCAGACGAGGCCTTCTACAAATTTTCAGCCTCTACCTTCATTCGAATCCTCCTCAAATCAACCCCAACGGCCTCCAAGGGATCATACATATACAACGTGAAACAATCCTAGTGTTTTGATTGATTCAACTGATTACGATGGCTCTGATATAAATGCATATCTTAAGGAAATATGATCTTATTTCTAGGAGAAGGGCAGTATCTTTTTCTTTTCTTTTCTTTTTTCCCTTTTCATGAGGTGTCCTGTTAGAAACTTTTTCTTTAATGATTCAAAAGATAAAATATGAAATAAAAGAAATAAATATTCCTCAGATGACATCACAAAAAATAAAAATAAAAAGATGAAGTATACAAATAGTAATCTACGGGGTACAAGATGCTAGTTTCCCATCATTACTTGCTTTGTGCCTACTACAGAGATTGTAGCCATTAACTCCTTCAAGATTACATTAACTCATGGAAGTAAGCAGCTATTTACTTTTTTTTTTCTTCTTTAAGCAGCATAGGGAAACCTAAAATTTACCATTCAACGAGCTACTAGCGTATGGACCATACCTCATGCTTATTCTACACTAAAATGAAATGGGCTGAACATATGAAAAACCAGCCATGCTTCTTACTAAGTCTCACAGATCCAGAATCTAATTCTTGAACTTGAGTTTTTCAGAAGGATAAACTCTATCTACTCGACGTCCATTTTGTCCATCCCCATATGAGAAATCTCTGCCACGGAACTTCTTACTTTGAGTTGGTCTACTGCCGGCTTCACTGCTTTCCTGTTTGTTTCTCCTACGACTGTCAATGTAAATGGCACAAGATTTATGGTGATTGACCAAATAGAGAAGATTGCGACTAATCGAGAGAGGAAAGAAAATAATAAATGAAATAGGACCAGAAATCTTAAGAATTAGTGAAATACAAACCTGAAATGCAGCAACAGACACAATACACCAACAAGTGCAGTGCCTCTGGCAACTGTTTTCAGTAATGGCCTCTGTCTATGTTTGTCATTTAATTGACCAGAATCTGTTTCTTGCCGCCTCTGTGAAGCATTTTCTTCCAACACATATGAAACTTTATGTTTTGTATCATCCTATTTAACAAAAAGAAAACAGAAATTACTAATGTGATTGAAAGGCAAAGCCTTGAAATTGTAATTAAAAAGAGTTAGTTCAAGAAAATTTGCAATGAGGAATACTTACATCATCTCCTGGAACTGTTGGTTCACATACTTCACTTGCATCTCCTAAATCGTAGACAGAGGAGCAGGGACAGGAATGCTCTTTTTCAATATGCTCACAACAATTTGCAGAAATAACAGAATTCTGATCCATGTTAACACCATCCAAAGTCATGGATGGTTCACATGTACTACTGACTTCATCAGAAACAAATTTCAGATACTGTGAATCGCCATCACATCCTTCACTAGTGTTAACTAAAGACACATTCTTAAGATTATTTCTGCATGCAGTATCAACAAACTTATCTTTACTTCTTGCAGCCTCCAGTTCTTCATCAAAATAATTTGAGCTATTTCCGTGCGATGAGACAATTTTATCAGTAAGAGGCTGCAATTCATCTGGACAGGAATATGTCAGTTCACTGAGACTAGCAGAAATTTTAGGTTTTACTATAGAAGGTTCTTTAGTATCATGAAACATGAGCTCGTTGGTTGCAACATTCAATGCGTTATGACCTGCAGATGCATACTTATACTGCCTATCAGCATCATTTTCCAGCAAGGCACAAGGAGTTTCTGCTGTTAAACAATCATCTGCATCAAATTGATCATCGAAATCCAAAGCACGCACCCGACATAATACAGAGCTCATGCTAGTGGTTGATGAAACTTCTGCATCTTCAGTATCAGAAAATTTATTCTGAAGTCCGTTTTGGGAAGTCCTTTCACTTAAATTTGGTTCATGAGAATCAATATCCATAAAAAGGTTCAAAATATTATCTTCACCTTTCCGCGGTACAGGAGTACTTCCATCAGTGCCACCAATAACTGAATCTGAGAATGCTAAGTAGTTAGATATATAACTACTTTCCACTTCATTGTCAAACATAGAATCTCCAACAACTGACTCGTCATTTACCACATTAAGGTCCCTATAATCAAAGTGTATACTATCATTGGCAGTACTATATTTCCCTCCATTTCCTCGAGAAGTTAGTGATCTTGATTGAGAATTGGTGCAAATTGATGAACAGCTATCTTCTGTACGGTCATTCCTAGCACACTGAGATGGAAGAGTTTTAGATAATTTTGATCCGTACTTGCAGAAATCACATTTATAAACATGGTGGCCATGAGAACATGAGAGTACACCAATTTTCTCTCTGCCATTCTTTCTAACAGCTGAATGTTCGTCAATAGAATTGTCTGCATCTGAATCTGTGGTGTTATCATCTTCAAGCTGATTCATAAATGAGCAACAAGACTCTTCTCCCACAAACTTGCTCTCAGCCTCATCAGACTCTTCAGATAAGGAATCATAGTTTCCTTCAGATTCTCTGGTTTTATTTCTCTATATCATACATATGGATACATTAGCATCTCTACAACAAGGGTTTAAGCATTTCTGTTATAAGTAGAACAAAAGAAGAAACAAAATAGCGTACAATATTTTCTACTAATGGTGCATTTAACCCTACCTCCATATGTTTTGATCTTGGTTCTTTATACGAGTAATAACCAGAAGAACTTGAAAGGCTGCTTGATGTCTCTAAGCTTCTTCGAATGCCACCTACCATATCTTTTGGCATGACTACCGTATAGGTCACCAAGTCAAAGTCAGGAACCTAAGGGATGGATACAAACAGGTTTCTGTAAGGAAGTATAACTAGCAACCCAGAGAACATAAGAACTAGACAAAGAAGCAGAACTTCTTCAGAAGGAAGTGAATAGCCTCTGGGAAAAGATTCTTACCTTCAATTGTTTGGAACGGGCCTTATTTGAAAGTGCCCTAATGCAAATACAAACTTTACGAATGTTCTTTTTCTCAACAACATCTGATGGGGAGAAGAGATCGATACCATTTAATCCCAGTATTTTGCAGATCTGCCAAAACAAGGGATTACAAGGCTATCCCCTTTTGTCGGGTCTCATTAAGGGTTTTTCCCCTCTTAAGTAGCATTATCGGCCATTGAAATAGTGCCAAATCAGATAAGAATGCAGCTATGACTTACCTTCAAGAATGAGTCAACATTAGAGTAAGGCATATATCTCCCACTGCATCTCCGTGAACTAAGTGGTTCATACTTCAAATGTCTTAGCTCGCCACACTTTGCCAATAGCATATTCCATAATACTTTGGAGACTTCAAACCTACACAGGTTATCACTTCCAAATGTTAATACTGTTATATTCGTGAAATAAAGAGACGGAAAGGAAAAGAGAAACGATTCAGTTGGAAAGGCTAGCAGCTAAACAAGATTAACAGCTAATTCAAAAATTAGTTAATCTGACGTGGATGGCTAGGATTCATTGCAACCTACGGCCTAGATCGACTCTCAGAAAGGATATAAATAACTCTAATCGATGTGGGATTGGGCATAATGAATTCTGGAAAAATCACTTTCCTTCCTCGTGCATTTCTCTCTTAGCTCTCCCTCTCTCTCTTCTCTCTGAATCCTTCCCCTTCTCGGTTATTCTCTCCTCTTCTTCTCTGAAAGTGTATCTCCATTAATTTCTCACTCAAGTTCTTATTGCAGGGTTATTGAAATAACGAATGCAATTGATGTTGGTGACTGAAGTTTTGAGGAATTGGAGTTGCTAAGCTGAAGCTGCGATTCGCAGTAGATAAGTTGATATTTCAGTAATTGTTATCTAGTTTCCTTAATTCTAGTAGCCGTTAATCTGTTTCCTTGTTATTTACATAATTCCATCGTAATTTTGATTTTTTTGTCTAGTTAAATTGAAGTGAAATTACCAGCTTGGTTGAATTGAAATATTGAGGTCATAACATATACAAGGTCATATCCCCTTGACCATCTAGTAAGCTACAATATTCTTCGGAGCCAAAGAGGATACAAGTAAACATCAAATGTAAGCCAACAAGTTGGAAAGGAAATGTAACAGTGTGAAGGTGCAAGAACTAGAACAACAACTAGTCAAACTTACAGAAGATCCCCATCAAGGATATAAATAACTCTAATCGATGTGGGATTGGGCATAATGAATTCTGGAAAAATCACTCTCCTTCCTCGTGCATTTCTCTCTTAGCTCTCCCTCTCTCTCTTCTCTCTGAATCCTTCCCCTTCTCGGTTATTCTCTCCTCTTCTTCTCTGAAAGTGTATCTCCATTAATTTCTCACTCAAGTTCTTATTGCAGGGTTATTGAAATAACGAATGCAATTGATGTTGGTGACTGAAGTTTTGAGGAATTGGAGTTGCTAAGCTGAAGCTGCGATTCGCAGTAGATAAGTTGATATTTCAGTAATTGTTATCTAGTTTCCTTAATTCTAGTAGCCGTTAATCTGTTTCCTTGTTATTTACATAATTCCATCGTAATTTTGATTTTTTTGTCTAGTTAAATTGAAGTGAAATTACCAGCTTGGTTGAATTGAAATATTGAGGTCATAACATATACAAGGTCATATCCCCTTGACCATCTAGTAAGCTACAATATTCTTCGGAGCCAAAGAGGATACAAGTAAACATCAAATGTAAGCCAACAAGTTGGAAAGGAAATGTAACAGTGTGAAGGTGCAAGAACTAGAACAACAACTAGTCAAACTTACAGAAGATCCCCATCAAGGATATAAATAACTCTAATCGATGTGGGATTGGGCATAATGAATTCTGGAAAAATCACTCTCCTTCCTCGTGCATTTCTCTCTTAGCTCTCCCTCTCTCTCTTCTCTCTGAATCCTTCCCCTTCTCGGTTATTCTCTCCTCTTCTTCTCTGAAAGTGTATCTCCATTAATTTCTCACTCAAGTTCTTATTGCAGGGTTATTGAAATAACGAATGCAATTGATGTTGGTGACTGAAGTTTTGAGGAATTGGAGTTGCTAAGCTGAAGCTGCGATTCGCAGTAGATAAGTTGATATTTCAGTAATTGTTATCTAGTTTCCTTAATTCTAGTAGCCGTTAATCTGTTTCCTTGTTATTTACATAATTCCATCGTAATTTTGATTTTTTTGTCTAGTTAAATTGAAGTGAAATTACCAGCTTGGTTGAATTGAAATATTGAGGTCATAACATATACAAGGTCATATCCCCTTGACCATCTAGTAAGCTACAATATTCTTCGGAGCCAAAGAGGATACAAGTAAACATCAAATGTAAGCCAACAAGTTGGAAAGGAAATGTAACAGTGTGAAGGTGCAAGAACTAGAACAACAACTAGTCAAACTTACAGAAGATCCCCATCGGCAAGCAAATCAGAAATATGTAGGTGCTCATCAAACCTCATCTTCAGAACTTCGCCAAGCCATATTCTTGTTTGAGTCTGAAATATACATCATTATTATCAACATAACACACACGCTGACATGTGAGAATTGAATTTCACAAAGAAATTTTTTTTTTAAAAAAGGAAAAAAATGACAGCAGCTTCTCTATAATCTAGTGAATTTGACCTGCAAAAAGACATCATCAAGTTCTCGGAAGCTAGATTCAGCCGAGGATTTAGAAGAATCGCCGCTGACTGCGGCAGCAACAGCTCGATAGCCGCCCATTGTTTTTTTCAGTAAGTAAATTCACTTCTGAAATATGAGTAATATCTACACTGACATATAGCTATTTCAATTTTCAAATTTCAAATTGTAGAGAATGGAACATTAATGGAGAAAATTAAATGTAAGGATGGAGGAGTAACCGCGTAGACGCAGCTACTGCGTGCAGTGACAGGGAAAATTTAATTAATTTAGGGCAGGAAATAGTGAAAAAAGTCCATGTGGACGGACTGTGTTTTACTTTTAGGTCAGATGAAACCAAAAAGAGAGAATCCAGTCCGCCAAATCTCGGACACGCCTTTTGTTTTTTTCTCGCTTTTTTTCTTCTTCGTCCCCTCCTTTTCGGGCTTTCCTCTCCTGTTCTTCCCATACAGCACTATATTCTTTTTTATTTGATTTCATTTTTTAAAATAAACCATGTTTTTTGTATTGATTTATTTAGTTTTGTCTTATTTTTGAGTTTTTTCCTTTGTACATAAATTGCAAATATTAAGAAAATATTTTTCTCATGAACTATTTTACTCCAATGGAAATAAAATAACTTTCCTATCAAAAGTAGATAAAATATTTTTTAAAATTATTTCTCAACATTCTCCACAATATTTCCTATCTCCACCCCCACCCACCACCCAACCCCTTCCNCGTCTCATATAGTATTTGCCTAAATAATATATTTTTCATAAATATTTTCACCGAAAATAAGTAAGAAAACTACTTATTTTTCAAAAAAATATTTTCCTTCGTTACCAAACACACCCTTATCTAGAATATTTTTGTTACTTGTTTACCATGAAAACGGTAACAACAATTAAATTTAATTATGAGACTCTAAAAATACGTGATCTATTTTTATGCTAGTTGTTAGGCAGATGATGCTATGTACGCGAGACTTAGAAACGGAATGAGAGTTAAGGATAGGGTGATAACCAAACCAGTAGGTTAATTATCAGGGTCTCGAGCTTGTCGATTCGGGGGCCTCGAGGTCGATTCTGGAGCCCAGCTGTGAGCTATTGAAGGTGATCGAGATATGGCTAGCAGTTATAATAAAATCAACAAAGGCTCTTTATGGCCAATGATAAGCAATAAATGAAGAACAATAATGAAGATAATAAATGGAAGCAATAATATCAAAGAATGTGTTAGAGAGCAAAATGTTTTAGTTTATTTAATATGGAGCAAAAACCATCCTTACAATGCGGTAAGGACCCCCTTTATATAGAAAATGAAGATCTTATCATAGTACAAACGCATTTATTATAAAGATATGGAGATGGGACAGCTAGTCGACGTCATGATGCGGGCTCAGACTAGCCTGACAGACTTTGTCGGCTCTAGCTGTACCCTTTGGAACTCCCCTCTTTTCCAATATAGTCGTTGGTCTGCGTTGCCCCGAGATCGAGCATCGACAACCCTCGAAGGTGAACCTCGATCCTAGTCTTGAGCCTTGGGAAGTATGTTCGCGGGGCATCATAATGACGAGGAAATTGGACCCTTTGATTTTGACAGTGCACAGATAGTTTCCGCGTTTCTTAGAGTGAAAGTGATAAGAAACGCCCTTAAATCTTTTCCCCCTCCGATATTCTCGTAACGATGGCAGTCATAAGGTGCCAAAAGGCGACGCACACGTAGCCCTTGAAGGCTTCCGCATTGATTATGGCAGTTAGCTACCCCTTGGCCTCCTTCAACGGGCATGCGGGGCTTCCATAAATACTCAACTTCTCGTTCTTTCCAACTTACTACATTTCCAAACCCCAAAAAAGGTTCCTTCTACCTTTACCCTTGTTATTTCCTAGGAACGTGACTCCCCTTTTTCTTCCGCAATTTTCCAGTAATGGCAAAAACTTCCGCCTCTGTTTCTTAGGAGAATGTGGCCTCATCCTCTTCTCTTTTATCTCAAGGTGAATCGGCAATGCCTCCTCGTGTTGAGGAATATGTTCCAGGATTTTTCGCGATGGATTCTGATTTTAAGGTCAAGAGGCCTTCTTCGAAGTCGGGGCGCATGACTCAGTATATTAGCTCGATAACAGATGTCGGAAGAGTGAGAGCTGATTGTCACTGGGGGGACGTGGTGCTTGTGGAGATCCCTTCTTGGGAGGAGGATATTATGACATATAAAGCCGATTTTCTCAATGTGTATACTTATCCATTTACCTTTGGGCCGGTAGGGCCATCTTCGCCCCCCGATCGACCCCGTGATTCTTGACTTCTGCCAACAGTATCAAGTGACCCTTAGCAAAATTCATCCTTCATTCTGGCGTGTTATTTACATGATCAGATACTACGCGAACATAATCGAGGAGATGCCCTTCACCCTCGATCATCTGATCAGGATGTACAGCCCCCGTCTCTTTCGCGGAGGTCTAATCAAACTCCGCTATTGAGCCTCGAGGGCCCTCTTCGCCTATACCGAGGAGCTTAGGAATGGGGGATGGATAAGCCACTTTGTCCGAGTAAAGACTTCTGACCTGATCCCGGCAAAAAGGATGTCGTTTTCCGAGAGGTGGAATGTGGAACGTAAGTAGACACGTTATTTAGCATCCCCTTGCTTCTCTTTGAGTACATTCTTCTCCTTAATTTTTCTTGCTAATGCAGTCGCAGCAATTTATCCTGGCACGATTGTGGACCTCCCGAGTTGGATCGGCCGTCTGGACTCGATTTGTCCGTATGTTGAGCGAGTGTGGCGTGATTTATCCCGAGCTCGGTGGGAAGGGAAGGATCATGGTGAGCCTCTACCCCTGCTGTAGTCATCCTTTTTGACCTAAATCGCTAATGGTAGAGCTCTCGTTTCCTATGCTTACCTCTTGTATTTATGTAGGTCTGGGGGAGGTCCCCTTGTTGAAAGGAGCATTACCCGGCGAGGAGAATGATTTGTCACCCGATGAAGGGAAGAAAAAACAAAGGGATCCGTCGGACAGACCTTCGAAGTCCAAGAAGGTTAAGGCGGAGGAACTAAGGCCGACCCGGCAGGCCTAACTCCAAAAATGGCGGGAAACCCTCGAGTTAAAGGTGAGGGGGAAAATAGCTTCTTTACAGTGCTCGAGGGAGGGATAAACCTGACCGATCCTTGGGCCGTAGAGATGGTGGCTTCCGAGTCGGAGCCTGACATCATTACGGTCCAACTTCATAGCGGAAAAACAACTGAGGGAGTACCGAGATCTACCCCTAAGCTGGCTGGTGGCCAGAGTTCCCCTCTATCTGGGGGGTGCCTTTGTTAGGTGGTTCGGAGGGGCCTAGTCCTGGGCCCCGAATGGACAAGGAATGGTCCTGACTAACCCTGCTAGTGCCGTGGTCGTGGTTGATTCCCCTTAGGGAACAACCCTACCTCCCAAGGGAGTGCAAGATGCCCCGCACGAAGAATCTTTCAATGTATGGATGCCTATCAAAGGTGGAGATGTTCTCGAAAGGATTCCAACCGTTCCTAAGGGAACCCCTGAGATCAATGCTTCCCTCGTCTTTGGCGAGATGATCAGGCTTTGCGAGAAGGTAATCTTTTCGAACCCTGCATTTTGCTTAGGCTTCGGTTGCTCTGACATTTGCCTTTCTAACTTGTCTTTTTTCATGGCTTTAGGCCAAGGTGCTTTACAATCAGACTTTCTCTCGGTATCAGGCCGAGGTGACCCGTCATGAGCGCGAGAAGGCTCTTCTTACTGAACAAGTTATCTAGTCCTCGTCTGTCATTATCTGCATGATTTGCCATATCCCAGTGTTTTAACATCTTGGATCTGATTTGTGCAGTTTGAGAAGGAAGGTGCCCTGCTGAGGGAGGAGCTCCGGGCCAGGGACTCCGAAGTGTCCGAACTCAAACGGCGTGAGAGAGAGATAACTTCCGAGAGGGATGCCCTCCAGGAGAAGGTGACCTTAGTTGAGCGTCAGCTTTGTGACGTGAGGGAGGATGGTGACAAGTACAAAGGTCTCTATTTTGAGTTGGTAGCTGCATTATCCGGGATCAAAACTGAAGTCGAGACGTTTTTTTCTTTGCATGGGGAGGATGTCATTGCGACAAGCGCTCAATACGGGAGGGCGCCTGAGGGGGCCAAGCCAAAATGACTCGGGCTATGGAGCATGCTCGATTGGGATCTCAGAGGCAGACTTTTGGGGACATAATGCGGGAGATGTCATTTTGCCTACCGAGCTCGAGAGGGTGAAGACCCTAGAGAAGAGAGATGTTGTCTTGCTTGCTTTCGGAGGTGCGCCGGGCAGTGGCTCAAAAGGTGATTAAAATGAAGGCAAAGCTCCCAGGGGGGAAGAGGCCGTCGAAGAGGGGTCTCTAAAGGACCCATAGTTGTTAGGGTGCAACCTTTGATGGAGATATAGAAGACGTAGGCTCGATGATAGATTAGGATTCTGTTCGGTCCTCTCTTTGTAAGGGTTTTTTCAAGACTTGTAAACATCCCCCTAGGGGCCATAAGAAGGCTTTTTATTTCCTATCCCTTCTTTCCCTTTTGTTTTGTGGAAATACTATGTGATGTATTTTGACTTTCAACCCAAGGTCCCAGACCTCGGGTTAGACCCTCGGGCTTTGCTATTGTCGAACGACCTGGCTTTTATGTATTCGGCCGGCATAGCCTTTGATCTTAGCGCTGGTGACAGCGACTCGTACATATTGGGTCGGTATGCCCTTTTAGTGTAAGCTGGCATTTGAGCTCTTATGCTTTTGCTCTTAGGTATTTTCAATAGTTTGGGCTCAGTTTCTGAGTCAGTTTTTGACTTGGGTTCATTTGACCTTCAAGTTTTAAGATTTCGAGCTGGCCCTTAGGCTCTTACGCGTTGGGTCGAAGTGACCTTATACATGGGCTGGTGACAATGGCTCTTACGCCTTGCCCTTAGGCATATTTAGTTAACTATTTTGGGTTTAGTCTCCGAGTCGGGTTTCGACTCGAGGTCATTCGACCCTCAAGTTTTTAGATTTGAGTGGGCTGCGACAATAGCTCTTACTCCTTGGGTCAAAGCGAACTTTTATGTGGGCTAGCGACAATGGCTCTTTCGCCTTGAGTTGAAGCGACCTTTTATGTGGGATGGCGATAATGGCTCTTACGTCTTGCCCTTAGGCATATTTAGTTAACTATTTTGGGTTCAGTCTCCGAGTCGGGTTTGGACTCGAGCTCATTCGACCCTCAAGTTTTTGGATTTGAGTGGGCTGGCGACAATGGCTCTTACGCCTTGGGTCGAAGCGACCTTTTATGTGGGCCGGCGACAATAGCTCTTACGCCTTGGGTCGAAGCGACCTTTGATGTGGGCTAGCGACAATGGCTCCTACCCCTTGGGTCGAAGTGACCTTTTATTGGCTTTATTTTCCCTCGATAAGGACTTTGAAATAATTTTTGCCTGA